GTAGTGACATCATCATCATCATCATCATTACAGCCCTTCACAAGTCCACTGCTGAACATAGGCCTCCCCCAAGTAATGCCACAAAGCACGGTCCTGAGCCACCTGCATCCATCGACTTCCTGCATGTCTTACCAGGTCGTCACTCCATCTAGTGGGGGGTCGCCCTACACTACGCCTACCGGTACGAGGCTGCCACTCGAGAACCTTTCTTCCCCATCGGTTATCGGTTCTTCGAGCTATATGGCCGGCCCATTGCCACTTCAGCTTACTAATCCGTTGGGCTATGTCGGTCACTCTGGTTTTACTGCGGATATCCTCATTTCTGAGTCTATCACGCAGAGAAACTCCGAGCATAGCCCTCTCCATAGCTCGCTGAGCGACCTTAAGCGTCCTCATACGGCCAGCAGTGAAGGACCACGTCTCAGATCCGTAAGTCATCACTGGCAACACGCACTGGTTGTACAATCTAGTTTTTAGAGATTGAGGTATACCTGACGAAAAGATATGCCGTAATTTCCCGAACGCTGCCCAGCCGAGTTGAATCCGTCGATTGACCTCTCGGTCGAAGTTGGACTTACCTAGTCGGACTATTTGTCCCAGGTAAACGTATTCGTCAACAACTTCGAGCATAGTGCTCCCAACAACTACCGGCATAGGTGTGACATGGACATTGAACATGATCTTTGTTTTGTCCATGTTCATCTTAAGACCTATCCGTTGGGAGGCACTATTGAGGTCATTGAGCATAGTGCTTAAGTCCTCCAGCGATTCTGCCATAAGGACTATATCGTCGGCAAATCGAAGGTGAGTGATGTACTCGCCATTGATGTCAATACCGTATCCTTTCCAGTCCAGTAGCTTGAAAACGTCTTCCAATGCAGCGGCGAAGAGTTTCCAATGAATAAATACACAAACAGACGGCCCCCAGTCCCCGGCGGCCCCGCTATTCCTGGCTACGGTGGCGACCATGGTAACGGCGGGGCAGGGGGTGCTAAGAATCTCCGGTGGAGGTTCGGTTGCCACCTACGACGACTCGACCTGGCAACATATAACGCACGCACCCTGAGGACTGACGAGAAGATACTGGAGCTGGAAGAAGAGGTAGACAAGTTGCGCTGGCATATTATTGGATTATCCGAGGTCCGAAGAGAGGGGGAGGACACGGCAATCCTCGAGTCCGGCAACTTGTTCTATCACCGGGAGGGCGACCATCTGTCCCAAGGAGGTGTCGGATTTATCGTCCACAAATCTCTCGTCAACAACGTTGTAAAGATTGGAAGTGTGTCGACGAGGGTCGCGTACCTGATACTCAGAATCACCAAACGGTATTCGCTGAAGGTCATTCAGGTTTACGCACCAACCTCGGCACATCCCGATGAGGAGGTGGAGGAAATGTATGAGGATATTTCCAGAGCCATACATTCCTCCAAAACCTACTACACGGTGTTGATGGGAGACTTCAACGCAAAACTGGGCACAAGAGAAAGCGGTGAGCTGAAGGTAGGGAAATTTGGAGTAGGGCAACGGAACCGAAGGGGCCAGCAGCTGGCCGACTTTATGGAGAAAGAGGGACTCTTTATGATGAACTCTTTCTTCCAGAAGCGGCCCCACAGGAAGTGGACCTGGTCGAGCCCCGACGGTTCGACAAAAAAATGAGATTGACTTCATTATGACGACCAGACGCCAACTGTTCAGTGATGTCTCAGTGATCGCAAGGGTGAAAACTGGCAGCGATCACCGAATGGTTAGAGGCACACTGAACCTAAACGTTAAGTTGGAGAGGTCTCGTCTAATGAAGTCAACGCTCCGTCCCCCCTCGTGCTCTAATCCAGAATCCCGAATCAGCTCGAGTTACGTAACCGCTTCCAGTGCCTAGAAGATTGCAATGCAGTGGACGATATGAACGACAAGCTCGTGGAAACTGTCCATGCGGTCGGAGCTAAGTTCTGTAAGACCCGCCGCAGAAGAACACAAAAACTCTCCGATCACACTCTTAATCTCATGGCTGTTAGACGGGAGATGAGGCTGCAATCGTCAACAGATTTGACAGCATACAGGCAACTGAACAGACAGATCTCCAAATGCATACGGCGAGACTTACGCAACTTTAATACTTCTCGTATTAAAGAAGCGATCGAGCGGAACCAGGGCTCCAAAGTCTTTGCCAGAGATCTGTCTGCCAGAAAGAGCCAACTGTCAAGGCTGAAGACTGAGTGTGGCAACATCGTTTCCGGGACACCTGAGATTTTGAGTGAGATTGAGAGGTTCTATAGGCAGCTGTACACATCATCGTTGGAGCCACACGCAAGTGTTTGTAATGATCCGAGAGCAAGTCTTATCCGACACTATTCCGATGATATCCCGGACGTCAGTCTAAGCGAGATTATAATGGCTCTCCAGCACCTTAAAAACGGCAGGGCCCCAGGCGAGGATGGAATTACAGCGGAGCTTGTGAAAGCGGGTGGAACACCGGTACTTGAAGTCCTTCAGAAGCTCTTCAATTCCGTCCTCCATGGTGGCACTACTCCAGAGGCGTGGAGCAGAAGTGCGGTGGTCTTGTTCTTTAAGAAAGGCGACAACGCTCTCTTAAAGAACTACAGACCGATTTCCCTTCTGAGCCGCGTCTACGTGCTGTTTTCGAGAGTCATTACGAATCGTCTCGCACGCAGACTTGACGACTTCCAGCCTCCCGAACAAGCCGGTTTCCGAAAAGGCTTCAGTACCATAGACCACATACATACCCTGCGGCAGATTGTACAGAAGACTGAAGAGTACAATCTGCCACTTTGCCTGGCGTATGTGGACTATGAGAAAGCCTTTGATTCCGTCGAAATTTGGGCGGTGCTACAGTCCCTTCAGCGGTGCCAAGTTGACTGTCGGTATATCGAAGTGCTGAAGTGTTTGTACAGTAGGGCTACGATGGCTATCCGAGTACAGAACCAGAGCTCGAAACCTATCCAACTGCAGAGAGGTGTAAGACAGGGTGACGTTATATCCCCAGTAGTGACAACGCATCTGCATTTTGATTCTTAATCTAGGATAAATGTATATGACTATGAGCTACAGCATTCACTTACCACTTTATTCTATTTAAAAATAACTATCGTAGCAGTGCCCTATGTGTACTTCCGTGACAAAAACTAAGTGTCGATTAAACAAAGTTTATTCCTTATGAAACCCATTCTAAGTCTAATGATAATTTTTCAGAAATATGCCAACTGAATTGAAGTAGATTTTATGGTGAACTTTTCACGATATATTTTAAATTTTACAACGATCGGACGAAATTCTGCATTATTCGACTACGTTCTGTTGTAAGATGTCAGATAAAGCTTACATAAACTTTTGTTGATATAAATAAGTATTACGAATATGATTAATAAAAACCCTTAATTTTACTAAGTCATAGACTAAATGAATTTATCGACATCGTTTTTTGTTTCGCTAATGGCACATCAATAGAGGTGTCTATGGAGTGGAAAAACGGTAACAAACTTGTAAAAGAAGGAAAGTAAGAAAAATATAGCTATCTTTATTTTGTTCTATGTTAAACGTCATATATATATAAAGACTTCAGCTATAAGAATTTTGTTCCTATTTTAGGATTCTCTATGCTAGTATTTACTCTGAGCTTGTACTTGACAACAACGGAATAAGGAAAAGATTTTCTCTTTCCAGCACACCTTAATCAAACTGTAGTACTTCATTAAAGATAGTTCAGACAAAGTCACAGGGAAATTATCATTAAATAAAGCTTTCTTATATACTTAGTGCTTAGTTGTTTTTTTATTTCAATTTCTTTTAAAATGTCATTAGGTTTAGTATATTTTTCTTTCTTTAGAAAGTCATAAGATTTCTTATACATTATCAGTATCTTATTAGTTTAAGAGCTCTTTGTAAGATGAACGTTGGTCTTTTGTTTGTACTTAATGTGCGGTGTATTTTCTTATTCGAACCCTGTTTCTTGACAATATTTAGAACATTTTTCTTATATTCGTGTCTCCAATTTGAACAATTTTATTTTAAGTATAACAAATCTTCAATAAAAAGGCAACAATATATAACAAGATAATCCTCACTGTTTTAATATGGGAAATATCGATTGTATAGATATTGCATGAGATCGTAAACCGTAAACCGTTTGGTGCGTGGTTTATATCCAGGAATGAGTTTCCGGAAGATGATAAGCTGTGAAGTAAACAAGTGTAAACGTCCCAGGGTCAACTATATACGTTCCAGAGTTAAGCAACGGCTTTATATCACAAAAGTACACCAAAAGGTTCCTTCATAAGATTTCTCCAACGTTTAAATTTCTGAGTACAGATAGCACTCTAAAATTCAAGCTATCAGTTTTATCCATTGTTTAAAACCTCTGAATAAAATCTTACAGAAAATTTTTAAGCAGTAACAAAAAAACTGGGTTCAATTTGCATTTGCGCAATGAAAAAAAATCAACCTTGCACTTCAATTTGCACCGAACCAGGTAAATAAAGAAGCTAAAAAACAGATGTTAAAGTTTTTCTAATTTGGTGCATCGGCTCTTAAATAAGCCATCTTTATTAAAGAAATTAAAAAAACGTTCGTAGCAGTTGTTGAACGTACAATAAATACGTACGTAAGTTGCAATGATAACGTCATCGTTATCGTCTTCCCAGTATAAATCAAAAGAAGCTGCTTGTTAGTCACATAGCTTCTTAAGATAAAACCGGTAAAACAGTATAACTGCAATGATATTCTGTCAAGAACAGCAAGCGATGATGGACTAATTTACCAACACATAACTGAGATCTGTCAGAATGACAATATGAATTAAGACATGCCTCGTTTTTGACAAAAATCGTGTTTAATAACTACGAAATTAAATAATTTGTCATATTACAAGAACGTCAAGTAGTGCTTTCACTTATTACGATCATAAACGTTGAACGTGAAACGTAAAACGTGATCCGGACAAAGATTAATCTCCAACAAAATTGGATCTAAAAAAGCAATCAACTCACATCCGGGAAGCCCTCTCTGACGTGCCGCCATATTAGCGGATCTGTTTCTATGAACAGCGAGCACGTGTTCCTGTTGTCGTGCGCCGCACGTCGCGTTCGCGAATGCTCACCAGTGTTCGCCGCTCGTGAGTATTTGTTGTGATGATGCTCCCAATACCTTCAATACAAATGTAAATTATAACTATTGTGTTTATAATTATTTAAGAACAATAATAAGCCCATCTTCATTAATTTGTGTCTGTAATAAAATTCATCATCAGGTTTTACGATTTAGCTAAAGTAGGACAGCGGGTTGTGGGGGTGACCACTGGTAATATTGTGTTTAAATATCGACCTTCAACGAGTAGATGCTGATAACTGTTCAATAAAAAACTGTATTATAAAAGATTGCATCTATCGGTATAGGTTATATACCTATACCGATAGATTTTACAGGGTGTTAGTGTAAACACCGTTATCCTTGAAACCAGTGGTTTGGTTTCACTTATAGAACGTAAATTCAATGATTAAAAAAAAACGCTATTTTCTTTCATAAAATTTAAAAAGTTTCTGTCCGACACCTTCCGTAAATTCATAGATACCCTATGCGCCCGAGTGACCTAATCACTGTAATGCCCCATTTACATTCAGCCTTGTTGGGCAGGGAAGTGAGCAGAGCCGTGGTCAGGGCAGTATGTAACAGGCTACTCGCGCTGACACTGCACTGCCGCTGCCGCTGCCACTGCCCGACGATCCCTCAAATGTCGGTTTTTCGTGCGGAAGTCAAAGGACGGGCAGCGCGAGCGGCAGTGAGTGTTCACATTCAGCTCCATCGCTCACTTCGCGCCAAGCGCCTGGATGAACGGACGTGCGTGCCGTCTTGTTATTAAATAAGTACGATCTACCAAAATGCCTTTCGAGTGGAATAATAAAAATACAATACAAAAGTTTTTAGAACTGCTGGAATCAGAAAAATATGGGATTTCAACGATAAAACACAATTCATCATCTTCTACGAATACGAATTTTCTTTTTGAGATAACATAGTATAATGTATGTACATAATTAATTATAAATTCGTCAAATTTTTTATATTAATATAAAATTTAGTTTAAGGAATTAATGAACATTGACATTTTATTTCTAAAAACGATTAGTAACTCATATTGATTATTTATTTATTAAAATGTAAAATAAGTTAAATGGTAATATTTGCATGCCTGAGTCTGAGTAGCCTGAGATTTTTAAATTATAATTTGATTGTAATTAAAATTATGAATTAATTTATACTGTAGTGTAATTATTAAAATAATAATGGCTTAACTAATCTCATATAATATTTAATATTATTTATGTAACAATAATGTAATAATTCAATTAATAATTTATGAACAATTTACTGTATAAGAATTCAAATCGCCGTCAAAAAACCATCGCGGTCTTCTTTGACATTGCCAAGGCATTCGACAGAGTCTGGCACGAGGGCCTTATCTACAAACTGTACGACTTAGGCCTCCAGGACCGTCTCGTTCGCCTTGTAGCCTCCTATCTGAAGGATCGTACCTTTCGCTTTAGACACGAAGGCACGCTATCCTCTACTCGTCAAATAAAAGCCGGTGTCCCTCAAGGCTCTGTGCTTGCCCCCCTTCTATACATACTATTCACCAACGATATTCCTATCCCGTCGAATGGTGTCAAACTAGCCCTCTTTGCAGATGACACAGCCCTTTACTCTAAAGGCAACTCACTACCACAGATTCGGAACAAGATCCAAAAGTCAGTAAGCGACTTAGGAGCTTGGTTCCAAAAATGGCGTATCGACGTAAACCCGGAGAAAAGCTCCGCCGTTTGCTTCGAATATAAACGACGTCGTCTCACCACCACTCCGCCAATCAGGATGTTAGGAACCCGTGTCCCATGGCAAACTAAAGCCAAATACTTAGGCGTCACCCTTGATAAGGCTCACTTTCGAGCCCCATATCAAGAAGGTTACTCACACCGCACGTTTTTACATGGGTAGGCTCAACAGCATGTTGGGCAGACACAGTAAAATGTCCCTCCGCAACAAGCGAACCCTATATAAGGCCTGCATACGATCTGTCATGACCTACGCGGCCCCCATTTTCGCACATGCTAAGCCCAAAGCTATAAATGAACTTCAAATATTTCAAAATCTATTCTGTCGTAGGGTCACTAACTCGCCCTATTATGTCCGTAATGCCGACCTACATCGAGACTTAGAGCTCCCAACAATCCAGCAGTTCCTTAAATCACTCTCTGAGAGATTTTTCAAAGCCTCAGAGTCCCACCCAAATCATCTCATTCGTGAGACAGCTGCCTATGCAGCCCCTATCCACACTCGCTATAGTGTGCGCAGACCGAGAAACTCTCTCTCGGACCCCCCCCCCCCAACAAGCTTTCGGCTGACCTGAACTGCCTCCTGGCGGCTCAGGCCGAGCCTACATAACACATCCCTTAATCTGCCTTAGTTAGGCACTCTTGTAAGCGGCTTTTCGCCGCTTGCGCCCTCCTTTCTGCCAAGGAGGGTCGCGTTCGTATACGGCTTAGAGATCTCTAGTCAGACCGTTAAGCCAATTCCTAAAAGGTTTGGTTTAGTGGGTAAAAGTCACCACATAACCACGCAGCCGGCTGCGTGGTATGCTATGAGCATTCCCAACCTCCCTCCCCCGCTTTCCGGAGGGTTGCCCATATTTGCTTCGGGCGCAAAAAAAAATAAAGAATTCAAGTAGAGAGGATCTGTATAAGTATTTAATTGTACGTAATAGTTGAATTCAAAAAGAATATTTGTTACTAACTTTTTAAGTAATTCAATAATTTTAAAAATGTAACATTGGGTTCGTGTAATTAGCTGTATTTCACATCATTTTTGCATGCCAATTATGGCAAAACATGTCAGTTACACGTCATTGATCATCTTATGTACCATGTTTTTAAGCAAATAAATTTTCTATCTTTATCTTCTTTTGAACTTGATATCTTTTTAAATTATTAACATAATTTTGTATTGCAAGAAGACACAGCGCGGACGCTGTATTTATTTCGACGTCTGCCATAGTCGAAAGCCGAAAGTGATGTGAGTGGTAGGGCAGAGTGTAAATACACACTTCCCGCGATCCTGCTACGGCAGTATTTAGGCGAAGTATTGCCGGCAGCGCGAGGAGCAGTGGCAGGGGCTGAATGTAAATGACGCTTAAAGATCACCGCCCGCGCTAGCCACCTACACAACATTTCAATAAAAACACAATAAGTACACATAACCTGTGACGTAACTTTTCCTTCCTGCTGGCTTAGGACAGGCAAAAATTGAGGAATTAAAGACATCTTAGATTTTACTAAAAAAAATGTTGTTATTTTTCATTGAATTTACGTTCTATAAGTGAAACCAAACCACTGGTTTCAAGGATAACGGTGTTTACACTAACACCCTAACGAGAGCTTTAGCGCTGTTGTGTTTCGTATGGTGAGGCAGACTGGTATAGAGAACCGATGAACTTTTTTTTACTGGTAAAGAGGCATTCTATATTTGTCCTTAGAGGAGACAACGCATCTACATTTTGATTCGTAGTCGAGGACAGATTAGGATGCCTATGGACTACAGCATCCACTTAGCATAAGTTTGTCACTCTTATTATATAAAACTGTACAGTGCTTCAATTAGTCTACTTACCTTGGTGGATCGTCTCGCAGACTGTTCGGGTGTGGCGGTGAGTGTGAAGGAGGCGAAGGCGCAGGTGATGTGGGTGGATCGTCATCGACACCTGAATTTTGTATGCGGTCCATCCATTGGACCACTTCGTCTGTGATTCCGCAACCGCCCACGTGACCTAAAAGTAACATGACTCTTTATTTATACGATCATAAGTTTATTTAAATAATCGTGTTCGATTTATGCCTTCATCGCATAAGAAATAAATCACTCAAGTATCATTACACAATCGTTCTCTACCACTTGATGAAACATCATTAATTGCTTACAAAGAAACTGATAAAACAACGATTTCTCGGCACTTGAATAAATGTTTTTATTAAGTTAGCACTTCCCCGCAAACATCGTTAAATTATTTCCTGATAGTGTTGATTCATTACCAAGCACACAAACCGTTACCGTTATAACCTATTAAAGTCCACTTCTGAACATAGGCCTCCTAGACAAGCGCAGTTTTTTATTCTTTAGTTGTTATTAATAAGACGGTTTTGCTCATCTCCTGTTATTTCCCTCTATCGTCTCTTACGACCATCCATGGGATGTTATGGGGTAGTGGATATTCGTAGCTCAAATAAATTTTGTTCTAATAAAAGTGAAAAAGTACACCTATACACGTTTCAAAATTGGACATCTTGACTTTCTCTGGCTTCATCTCATTTCAAAATAATTATGAAGCAGTTAGTCTGCTGCACTGCTCCAATACGTAATGAAGAACTCTCCTCTTCAAACATGCAGGTTAGCTAGCGATATTTTATTTCACAGCTAAGCACGTGATAAATCATAACACATAAATTTGCTAAAGACGCAAAGTCAATAATTTTTTGTTTTAATTTTACACTAATATACTAATAGCTCAGTAAAACTTTATACCTAATAGTTAAGTTTAGTTTCAAAATGGTCTTGCAGTATATCAGTATATCTTTTAGTTAACAGCCTAGCCTTTTTACTAAAAGGCGCCTTTCAACTAGCGGCCTGAATGATATTAAGTCGATGCGTCTAATAAAACATTTATGAACTATGTGCTATAATCTTGTAACATCAGCGACAGTAGGTGAAGGCGCGGCTGGTGTGGTTCTTGGGTCACTCTAAAACCAGCATACGTTGGGCTGGATATGATTCAGACCGCTAGTTAAGCCGCGCCGTTTAGTAAAGCTAGGCTAGGCTATTAACCGAAAGGCTAATTAAGCTACTTGGCTGCGACGTATCCACAGTTATTGATACGATAAAATACTCAACAATTGACTGTTCTATTTTTGTTCACGTTTCACTTTTTCTTTTATTGGGATATTCCAGCACACGCTTGACGAGAAAAAGAAAAACTGTTAGTTTTTGAATAGAAGGTATGCTGCATCTACAATATCTATCTCATATGCTTACTAACTGATATATATTATTGGAAAAGTGTAAAGTAACTGTTTGGTTAATCAGGTTAGTGATCTCATTTATACTCGTAATTTAATATATAAGAATAGAAAAGGTAAAAAATTTCACTGATGTGTTAGTAAACAAACGTCTAATATTAAAAATTTAACTATATGCGACAGAACATAATAATATTCTTTAAAATAATAGCCTCTTAAAAGATTTTTGAAAGTTTCGCCCTTGACGATAGAACGATTCGTCGCTGACGCCGCAAAGGGGCGAATAGCGGTGTCAGCGACCAATTATACAAAAAAACTAATCAAAATTATTCGAACTATTGCTGACCTATAACAGAAACGGCGGTTTTGAAAAACATTGCCTATTTATATTTTTCTATTAAGAAAATATGTAAAGTAGTAATCTATACAAGTCCTTCAATTTTTTAGCTTTTACCTTCGGGACACATTTAGACGATCGAGAGCCGCATTCAATTGCAAATATGAATCTGTAACGTCGTCAAGTGTGTGTAAATAACCAATGCCGTTATAAAATCGATGCCGCACGTATTCCTCGACCGGATTTAGTCGGGATGCGATATTTCGCATAATAACGCGGATGTTTTAAATTATTCATGACAAAATTCAAGTTTGCGGATAAAGTTAGTGGGTTGGGGGAAGAAAAATAATAGAAGACTGCCGCTTCTCCCGCATAATGTCTACAACGGCGATGTCACCGATCTGCTAGGCGAATGCTTCTATGCTTGTATCGTATCGGAACTTATTATGCATTACATTGATTTTATTCATTTATATGAACTAATTACAAGCTTCAGCAATAAAAATTAAATAACAGTAGGTATTTGATTCATTCACACACGTCCGCCGGTGAACCTGAGCCTCTCGCTCGCTCTCTATTATATAATATAGAATATTTGCCATATTTTCCACGCTTGGGTAGGCAACCGGAGTTTTTTTATTATTAATTATTTATTATCACGAAAATGCTCATCTCCTGTTTTAGTTTCCCCTAGGCCTCATACGACATCCATGGGATGATATTACATTGGATTTAACACCAATATTTATAAGAATTAAGGTTTTGTTTTGTGCAATAGCGATCTCTTCAAAATAGTATAACACGTCCGCGATCGAAATATAAGCAAGGGTATAGTACGCGTCACGTAAAAAGAACGCTGGCGGTCAAGCTGCGCATAGGCGATTTATCGGTCTACTTGGTGGTATGAGGTAGGGCGCGGGGCGGGTGAGCCACGCGCCGAATGTTTACCGATGCGCTATTGGTTCATCGGTTAAGCTTTGCTTCCCGCGTAGTATCCACGTTACGTTCCTTTTAAAAATACCATCGCGCACAAAAGTTTTAAATTACGAAATGGTTTTACATAGAGAAGTGAGAAAAATGATTTATGACGTATACTGTTTTATTAAGAGGGAAGCTGATAATAATGTAGTTAATTATTTAAAACAATGTATGAAACGAACCGCAGAGGCAACATAATGTTCCGAGTCGACAATGAGACGAATAGTAAAGGGTTCAAAAGATTCGGAATTTCTTACTGTTTTCCGAACTCCCGGCAAAAATAAAAGAAAAAAAAAACAAAACCAATAACAGACATTGACAGCTTTGACCGTGGTGTTATAAAAAGAATGATCCATAATTTTCACGTTACTGAAAAAGAATTGCCTACCATAGGCAAGTTGCAAAGGAAGTTACAGGATGACATACATTTCCAAGGATCTGCAGCAAGTCTCAGGCGAGTATTGAAAAACTTGGGTTTTAAATGGAAAAAAACGGAAACCAATAGAAAAATCTTAATTGAGCAGTCACAAATTCGATTTCAAAGAATTGAATATCTGAGAAAGATTAAAAAATATAGAGAGGAAGTAAGACCTATCATTTACACTGACGAATCATACGTCGATAGTTCCCATGCGTCTCACCATGCTTGGACAGACGGTTCCACCAAGGGCATTAAAAAACCTGTATCTAAAGGTAGCCGCTTAGTCATAGTGCATGCGGGTGGCGATGCAGGTTTTGTGCCGAATGCTTTACTGACGTTTAAAGCCGGTACAAAAAGCGGCGACTACCATGACAATATAAATTTTGAAAATTACGAGCGATGGCTCCGTACTCAACTGATACCAAATTTACCGCCTAATTCAGTTGTGGTAGTCGATAATGCATCGTACCACAATAAACAACTCGATGCTGCACCAACGTCCAATTCAAAGAAAGCAGACATGCAAACCTGGCTTCGTCAAAAAGGTATTGAATTTGAAGAGACCATGCTAAAGCCGGAGTTGTACAACTTAATAAAAAAATGCAAAGATAAATTTAAGAAATGACATCATCAGGATTTCATACATTTTTGGTCCAAATATGAAAGTGCCGGCCAATAAAAAATATGCTGTATTCCATTAGAACTTGTCCCCCTGAGTATTTATTATTACACCAAAGCTGTAGGGTCATTGTCCTTGGTTTTATTGGAGTTCAAAAATTCAACATCTTCATACATTTTCAGTGAATTTAATAAACAAAAACAAATTATTTGTTCTACCATATTTTTATTTTGAACATCGTTTAGTAAAAATTATATTGGTTCTTGACCTATTTTGGACATATTGATCTTGTTTTGTGTTTTTGAGGATTATAAGTAAAATATGTATACAGGGGTTATTTTGTTTAATTAAACACTATAAAATCATCATCGTCTGGTACAATAATAATGTTATCCAATCCATAAGCTGGAGGGGTTATTGCTGGCAAATGTCGTGCATGGCTCATGTACCATATAATGCACATAATATGGGAGCAGCATCCAATTGTTCGCTTTCCTATGATGCACGAACAATAATAGTGAGCGATTGCTTGTCGGCCTGATAACGACCTATCGATTATAATGTAGACATAATACTGTCTTGCTCTAACATGTCGCGATTGCAGTCGGCCTCTTATCATCCATAAATCATTGCCCTGCAATTCCGCCAAGTCTTCATTTGATAACTCATTGCTGAGCTCAATTGTGAATGCTCCATTGTCAAGGACGTGCTCACCGTAATAGCTTTTGGCCTGTTTTAGTTGATAAACGCCCAGAGCGAATAATAATAATTCGTTCTCATCCATTCTTGGAAAATCTACAAACTCTGGCATATCTGCAGTCATTAAAGTAAACTGAGCACGTCTGCGATTGTAGTTATGGCGTATTACAAGATCTGCCAATCTATTTTGCATATTAATTCTTTGGTGGATAATCTCTAAAATCGCAGCAGCATTTGGATTATCTTCAATCAAAACATGAAAACGATTTATCATCGCCGCTGCTATCTTGAAATAGTCGAACATGCTGGGAAGAACTCTGTTATTATATACATTTCGCAACAGGCGAAAATCTCTTTTGAACCTGCCGTTGACCACTTCAACCACCCAACGACAGATTGTTACCAGTCTGGACTTATTGGCCTGATCCGTGGTTAGCTGTGTCTCATTTGGATACTTTGTTTAAGGCATATGTTGTACGTATCCGCAAGATTCCAGATTTCTTGCTGAGTCTCGAAAACCACGGTCCAGAATAAAAACATCGCTACTCCTATAAAACCAGTGGAAGGCACTGTCAGCATTATTAAGCATATCATTCATTATATCTGCGTCAGACGTGGTGGCAGCATATGGTCCGTTAACTTCGATAATGTGTCCATCACAAGAAACCAAGAGGAACGGTTTTAGGAGGTTTCTGTATTTGTG